GGTGAAAGGGGGAGGGGGGTTACATGTGGGTTCAAACTAAGCTAAGTTTTGAATTACACGCATTTAATACACGGTCATGACGACTGTCTATCTATCTATCTGTCTGTCTATCTGTCTGTCTGTCTGTCTGTCTGTCTGTCTGTCTGTCTGTCTGTCTGTCTTTGGCAAAGAAAATCGGCGACTATGTAACCGGTTGAAGTTTGCCTGCAGGGCACCCCCTGTCTTATCACCCAGTTCTGAGAGTAACTGTCAGCATTAGTGCGTCTGGAATGCGCGGGTAATTTGAGACAGGCTGAAACTATTGCCTGCAATTAGTTTTGCAGAAAAAGAGAGGTTGAATGAGGAGCAAGTGGCCAGTAACGCTTAAATTGGAATGTGAGCCCCTTCTTTCAAGCCCCCCCCCTCCCAATTCCCAACCCTCGTCAAAAAATAAATTACAAAAAGCCAAAATAAACTAACCAGAAAAAGACGCAACTAAATGAAACAGGAAAAAGCTGTATCTTAGAATGTGCAGTTCATTTAACTTGCTGTCCATTTTTTACACTTTTTCTTTTAACGTGCTCGCACTCTGCGAACATCATTACTTCCACCCAGCGAAAACCAGTTGTAAACTGCAAGTATGGCCTCAGACTGTGAGTGTTTTAAAAATGAACAACAGAAATATTGGGCTTTCGGTTAAATAGATTAATTCATAACAAGCGCGAATGTACCAGTTCGCCAAAACCCACTCAACTGAGATAGTTCCAAGAGCAGGAAGTCAAGAAACCAAGGCATGTGCTCGGGCCATAGACTAGAATATTCTTAGAAAAATTACCCTGAACACGGTTCCAGCTGCTTGGCTTGCCATGTGGAGTCTCATGAAAATGTGAGAACATTCTAAGTCCACCCCTCTTCTGGCATACAGGTCTTTTTCATTTACCTATTTCCTTAAATGGAGCAAGCCCCCCCCCCCCCGAAACAAGTTTTAAAACAGGAATTCCCAAGGGTAAAGATAAAAACTATTCCCCAAAGAAATACGTCATCATTATCTAGGCCTGGACGCAAGAAAAATGAGACCCATCTGTGCACAAGTAGACGGTGGAAAGACAGACATCCCAGGAGCGATGTAGTTTTTGGATTTTGCCTCCTCCAAAAATAAACTTCCTACTCTTTATTTTGTGTTAGACTTGCTCCCCTTTCATTATACTTAGAATTGGCACTCCTCTCGCATTATTAAATTGCCGTCTCCCTGTAATGAAAGGATGCATCTCGGGAAGTTGAGGGGTGGGGGTGGGGGGTGGAATGAGGTTGGGTTGTCGTTGGGAATGGGTTTAAGTTTGTTTGAGGCTGCAGTTAAAGTTGGGGGTGAGTGAATACTTTCTGACACAACATAACAAGCAAGAAAGCTGGAGTCAGTATTACTAACGCACTTTCCTGAGCATGTGCTTTCACAAACCCATTCTTAAGTGATGAGTTTAACTCACCCTTTCGACTAATGAGCAAATGATCGAAGTTGTTTATTTTGAATGAATTCTTTTCATCTGTTTTTGTAGGCATTGATGAATCTGACAAGGGAAAACTAATAAGTGTTTAGTTTCAATTAAGAACGTACTATACCGCTCCATCTTGCTCAAGTTACCTGCTCACTGCCACTGCAAGTGGTGCCTCAATGCTGGAAACCTGAATTTTCTCAGCTTTTTACGTACTTTGTGGAAACAAGCAGCGTGTGTTAAAAAAAAACACACACACACTAAGCAGTGAGCATTCAAGTTGTCAGTGGAAAAGATAAATAGCTTATCATAAAAAAAACGGGTTTGGTACGAAACAGTCACCCCTCCCCCCTCCCAATTCCCACTCCCACCCTAAAAGAAAAACAAACGAGAAAAAAAAATAACAATCTGTGAGGGTCTTAAGTTGGGGAAAGCCGCGAATTTCGGTCTTCTTCGGAAGACTTCCTGACGTAAAATGTGCACTTTATACACTTTTATACGTAATTCTCTTTTTTTTTTTTTTGGGAGGAGAGGCGTAGATTGGATTCTACGGAACTAAGGAGGGTACAATATTTAGGTATTCACAAAGAATCTATTTCTGCAATTTGTGAAATTTCGATGCACGTGACACAAAGTTATTTCGTCTTTAGGCACATACATAAATGTAGACTCTCATGCATGCATGCACACACATATTAACATACACACTCATGCACACACACACACACACACACACACACACACACACACACACACACACACACAAACACACACACACACACACTCTCTCTCACATACACACACAGACACACACATACAGACACACACATATTCACAATCACTCTTGTATCATTGTGTTCTATCGCGCTCCCCCCCTTTCCGCCATTCTCTTTCTCCTTCTCTCTCTCTCTCTCTCTCTCTCTCTCTCTCTCTCTCTCTCTCTCTCTCCATGCACACACACTTGTAGGATGGTGTGAACCAACACCTTATGCGTTATCAAATAACAAGACATGTTTTGTATTGCTACTTTTGTGTCTCACACCCGATTAACCCCAGGGCGACATTTGTAAGAATAATACCGGAAGGGAAACCTCTTTATGACACCCATTGAAGATGACGGGGAAGAGAAAGTAACTGATTTTTCACACTCCCGCCGGAAGAGCGCGCAGGCGTTTCAAAAGACGCCCAAAGATAAGGTTCATGACTGGTAGGCCAAGACGCAAGGGTTCATTTTGTGGAGTGGCATTCTTTCATCGCTTTGATGCTCAGAAACCAGAGCCGGTTCTTGTTTCCGCGTTGTGCATCTACACTTCCCCCCACTGCACAACAGCAGGAGGTGAGACACTTCTCAATGGAGAAATATCGCGCATGAACTTCTGTGATTAGATGTGCAAAGTGTGTGGTATTTCTCGAGCTTTGTACTATCCTATACCAACTCTGGGTTTTTTTCCTGGTTCGAGATATCACTTTGAAAGTGTGAACCTCGATGTTACCTATAAAAAGCCCACCACGCTCAAATATTTGGTCGGGGAGTTAATTCAGCACTCTTATGGATGTGCGCTGATGGAGTCAGTATGAAACGTCAAATTATGTTTTTTGTTGACTAATTATTTAGGAATTGAAACTTGAAAAAGAAACAAGAACAAAAAAGGACTAAATATACCCCCCAACCACATCCTCCCCCCCCCCCACCAACAACCACTCCCCCCCTAAAAGAAACAACAGCAATAAACTAACAAAAGTAAAAAAAAACAACAGCAACAAAACCCCATTATAATAGCAAAACCTGGAGTTAGCGCAAATTGAAACGACATTGTACAGAATACGGGCGTTAACTGTGATATATGATGGTATAGAGGGCTTTTGGAAATTGGAGTTACAACTAGATAGCACTAAGTTGGCCATTCTACTTTGGTGCAACGTCTCTGCCATCTTTACCTCTACATGGCACCAAGACATGCCTTGCGATATAATAATGACCAACTCGTAAATAGTCATGGTCTTCTATCCTTTATAATATTGTGTAAGGTCTTAGTCGAGCCAGCCTCCTTTCTTTGTGTTTGTCCTCGATCTAGCTAGGATTGTCAAGAAAATTCACATTGCTGTAGATACTGACCGCAGAATGAGGCCCAGGAACTTTACAAACAGATTGGCCGTTCACTTTATCATTCTAACACAATTTAGCATCAGCATACCTTCTTTTTGTAAAGGTTTTACACCCAACTTCATACAAAAAATTAGATTTCGAAGTCAGGGGTATTGATATGGTGGGTAGAAAAAAAAAGAAAAGAAAGTTGGAAAGACGGCTCACTTGCCAAGTCAAGCACACCTGCATACAGATGTTCTTGAGAGCTATTCCCTTGTATGCGGCTTTCTTCCTGGTATCGGGAGAGGGGGGAGGGGTGATTTATACCCCTCCCCCTTCATTAAATCACTCGGATAGCACATTGTCTTTAAAATTCTGTTATTTACAAACGACACACGGGTGATTACATGGCCAGTAAACACAGATCCACTGAGTGTGTCTAGCAATGTCAAAAGTGTTAGCTTTTGAGTGAATGTTACCTGCTGTTTGTTGGTGAGAACGAAAAGGTCAGACGATATGAACGAAGACGATCAGTGATAGCACACATGGGATGTGAGGATGACATTGAATGGTTTTAGCCACTTTAAGAGTTAAATATGTATAACTATAAGAAGAAGAATTTGCTGATTACTGTAATGAAAGCATAATTATTCTCTTCCTGTTCTCCTGTTCCTCCAATCCTTGTTTCTTGTGTGTGTGTGTGTGACAGAAAAGTGGTGGCATGTGACGAAAACTTAACTGCAAGGCAGTGAAGCACCTAAGTTACAACAATTTTTGTTGTTTCGAGTCTGAAAAAAAGTGTCTCCCTCGTCCTGGCTTAAAGATGGACGACAACTCCAAGGTCCCACTTTACAAAAACCTTACTATTTGGCTCTCCGCAGTACCGTATGTATCTGGTGAAAAGTAAGCATATTCACAGAGCCGTCGAGGAAAGAAATGATAGATCATAGCAAAGGACGATTTTAAAAATTAATTCCGTTAAATATATGTCATCTCATCTGAAGTGTGACATAAATCAATTTGTTTCAATAGCATGCCCTTCATCATATTAGATTTGTGCAAAGGATACTCTAAAAAAATTGAGCAGTCGTGAGTTTCTGATTTCAATTCAGGTCCGGTAACTGTTTTTTTTTTTTTTTAAAGTACAGTGGGCTCATAATTGTAAGCACATAAAGCATATTATGTAGAGCGTAAGTGTGTGGAATATAAATGTGCTTCTTCTTCTTCTTCTTCTTCTTCTTCTTCTTCTTCTTCTTCTTCTTCTTCTATTATCATTATTATCATAATTACCACCATTTTAATAATTATCATTAAATCTGTTGAATATCAACTGAACTTTGGTGGTATTAATTTCACTGTTGATAAGGTTAATTAACTTATTCATTCAATGTGGGGATGGAGTTCGAAGAGGAGTAGAAGTCAAACTAAAAGAGACGTTGACGTACCGATGTAGTTGCTGCTGCGGGCAAACTCTGTGATGTTGATGCTGCAGGCCGGGGCAGGGATCTCCACCACGGGGTTGTACGTGCCTTCCGTGAGCACTGTCACCGTGTACAGACCGGAAATGCGGCGACATGCGGTGGGTGTGCGCGCGCACTCCACGCACGTGTCGGGGTTGGCCTCGCCCTTGCACGTGCTCCACAGCTGGGGTAAAGCAAACAAAGGTTTCATGAAGGCAAAGAAAGAATTTCAACAATAATAGCGAAACATAACGTTAAAAAAGTGGAACGTAAAAGAAAACCCTCTTTTAAAAGCTATCAAAACAGAAACGCTTGAAACCTTGATGCCACATTGAAACAATCCCCCCCCCCCCGCGCGCGCATACACACACACACACACACACACACACACACACACACACACACACACACACACACACACACACACACACAAAGATAAACATACGACAACCAACCCAAACATGTTTAAAATAGCTTCTGGGAAATGAAATATCCCAGCTGAAATTTGCAAAGAAACAGTTGGAGGCAGAGTAGTCTCTTTTCATGTCAAAGTATTTAAGTTTTATGGACTCAAAATAAGCCCTGTAAAGCTGAAAGCCCCCCTCCCCTCCCTTTTTTTCTCACTTAAGAAAAGAAACAGTCAAGAGAACAGCAGCTGAAGAGAGAATATTACTCAAAAGAATGAATATTAATGGGAACCCTCTCAGGTTCCAGTTTCTCACTTCTGTGACGTAGCTACTTCACCAACAAACTGCGCCCTGGCATGTTGCGGACTTGAAAGCAACGGTGTGCTATTTTAAAACTACGTAAACAGAGCTAAACGGAAACATCCTTGTCCCAGCTTTAGGATAACGTGAGACAACAGTAGATCAGGGTGATGATACAATGGTTAAAATAAAAGAAACCCCAGGAAAACCCTTGTTATTTCAGTATGTAAACCATCGGTAAGACGGGAGCAGAACGAGTTATAATGATGACGCTGATTCGAAAAGCAAGGCTCCAGCCATTAAATCACTCAACCTGTAACGGTGCATCGTATCGTTGTGTCTGGGAGAATGCTCTCCTTATAGCATTCAAAATAACGCTAGGACAAAAGGAGACAGGGTGAAAGCAGAGAAGTTAGTTTGAGAAATAAGAAACCAGCTATTAAGGTGCACGACCATGAGGAGAAATGACTTCAGTGATAACAGTAGCGATATGAGCATTGTAAAGAAAGTTTACTGAAACGTATGTAGCCGCTAAACATATTAAGAAGTAAAGCGAAAAAGAAAAGAGTTTGGAAAACGCAATCAAATATAAAGAAGCAGTCGAAGATTTTCTTGACTTGTTGCCTGTATGGCCTAATGTCAACACAATAAAAACATCTATTCAGTATAATTACCAAAACTTGGAATTTGGATACCTCGGAAGAAGTGAGGGCGGATTAAATAATCTCAGAGTGTCTGTATTCCTGCGAAAACAGGACATTTCAGATCGGGCTAAACTGTAGTCAAGAGCGCACACGAGAATCATCAACAACAACAACAATCAAAAACATACATAACCCCCCCCCCCCCAAAAAAAAAATTAAAAAAAATTAACGAAGGCCCTGGAAGGCTGGTTTGAAATATGGTAGTCCTGCTATCTTATAACATTTTTCTGAATGTATAATCCGCAAAAGTTCTTTTAACGCAGGGCAACCCGATAGGTTTTTATTCACTTAAATTAGTGTTAAGTGTTAATTGCACTTAGTAACCCCGAAAGCTGGTATACTTGGTCTTTTGACCAGACACAAGTTTGGGAGTAAATTTTGGCTAAAATGTCGAACATTCGGACGACATAAACTCAATTTTATTTAACTCTGTAAAGTTATGTATGATCATCATCCAGTGCCAGATCTGCGACAGACATCATATCGGCGATCATGATTCTCCATTCATTCCTTTCCTCGGATGCTCTTAATAAAGCCACGTTTCCCTGATCTTTCCCTGTCACCCACTTGTTCAGGTTCCCCAAGTAGGTTGCTCAGGGCCTACGCCTGCCTCGCTTGCCTTCAAATTTCCCAGAGAGAGCTAGATGTTCAAGACCCGTATCTAGTTAATTATAGGGCAGGATATCCAATTTGATGTTCATCTCAGACACGACAAGATCTTTTGGATTATCTTCAGTATTAAACCATTTACTTCCGTGTATTGGCCCTGTTCGGGACTGGGAAACCCATTGCTGGTTAAGCAAGAGGCACACATCTTTTAAAACAATTGTCTTACCTAGCTTAAACTATGTTGTACTCTGTTGCACTATGAGTAGGCACCTTTGTCACTTGTAAAGTGAAGGTAGAAAAAGTCTCAGGAGCAAGAAATGCCTGGTGGTAGTTGGAGGTAGACATGACAGTTGTATCAAGTACTGACAGTTTTCGATACTTTTCGATATGTAAAGACGACATATTTATCAAAGAAGCGCCGCATATTGCTCACTAGCTCATGTATTCAGGAGCTCACTTTAAGGCCCGCGCACATGAGGAAAAGCCGCCAATGGATGTGCAACCGCGCGGTGAGAAGAACTTTTCCTCACGTGCTCGGGGCACTAGAGACTGCCGTTTAGAGCCCTGGGACCAACAGTTGCTAAACAAAGCTAACCAACACGTGGGCGTTTAAAAATTGAATTGTAGACGAGTCCAGGGTTTTATGAGTTTGAGGACATGGTACCTCCTAGCCCAATATCTTGTTGTACAATCTTTGATATGGATTGATACGGTCTCAAAACTACAACAGACACGAAACTACCCCGAGCTAACGTTGCACTTCAAATATTTCCATGTTGACGCCAGAAGTACGCCAACAGATTCATGAAAAAACAAAACAACAACAACCCCAAGACAAGTTGATACAATAGAGACCTGTGCCCCCGAGAAGTGCTCGTTACCCCTCGAGTCAGGCTGCCATTCTAGCACAGACAGCAGACAAAAGGCACAGAGTTGTTTCGGGAAGGACACGCCTGCAGACATTCCTCTCCGTACAATACGTATGACATTAGGAGCTGAGAAAAAAAGAGTGGGTGGCATGCCGGAGAAGGAAATAAGACCCATCGTTCAATTGTAGAAACTAAGGTGAGGTAAACAAATATGATCAATAATGCTCTCATTTTTGCATAGATGTGAACGTAGAGTCACATTTCTCTACTACTGTGGAAAAAGGGGGGGGGGGGTTACCCCCGGGTGAGGGCCACTGGCTCTAATCGCTCACTGTCCAGTCCACAGGGGATATTTTTGAGGAGGTTCATTTCTGTATCAGAAAATCTTATTTTGAGGTTGTAAACATACAGCATAGATTATTGCACTGTTAGTCTTTTTCCTTTTTCTGTGGCCGAAACCAAAGACTAGGCGACAATCTCTCTTCTGTGGAGCTGTGACTCAAAAAAAAAAAAAAAAAAGAAAGAAAGGAAGCAGAGTGTGTCATGAATATTGCCAGCATATGGAGGAATGCTAGGTCTGTGTTCGTAAACAAACACATGAGAAACGTAAGCAAGCGCAACAATTCCAAACCTCGAGCATAAAAAGTCAAAGTTGCAATAAAGAAGCACAATAAGGTGGATGTAGGGCAACAGTGTCATATTATGTGTCACGACGCGGTGCAATCAGGCCCTCGTCAATTTGGGTACATTGATTTAACTGTTTAAAACCTGTTCATTTTCCTTATTTCCTATTTGGAAAAAAACAACCCAACCCACCTATCTTGAATAGAAGCCGAAATAATGTTTGTGATTGAATGATTCAAAGGGGTGGGGATCGCAGGGTGTCAGCGGTAAAATTAGTGAGAAAACGCCCCCATACTTTGGTGACTCCCAAAGTTCTAGAGTACTTGGAAACTGCTAATTCACCTTTGTGGACCTTTCATCAACGTTTTTCAATAAATTCCACAAAGAATATGTTTAAAAAAGGGCTTAAAAGAAGTTAGGGCAATTTAAAAATCGAAAGAAAAAAAATTGCCCAGAGGGCGGAATAACGTCGGTTTCTTTGCGTTCATCATTTTAACGAGCGTCTGATTTAACCACGGTGCCACACATATGGCTTTCAACTACAGAAAGGTCAAAGGTGTAACAAGACGATTGTATTAACAGTTTTCGGAGGGAATGGCTTTATATTTTTTTCCCCGATGCGCGGAAGCTGCTTTTTTCAATCCCCTTCCACAGCAGAAAGAGCTGCAATTTAAAAGAAACCCGCTGAAGTAGGAAGAAACACGTCTGTTTCTGATAAAATCTAATGCCACTTTTCTCCACTCTCAATTCCCACCGAAAAAGGCTCAGTGATAAACAAGAGGGCGAAAATGCCGTCTATGTGTTACTTGACGCGAGGGAAAGAACAGAGGGCAACGTACCAGAATATTGTATTTGCCAAAGCACTACGAAGTTTGGCGGGATTATATCATGGAAAATAAAAACGGAACTTCAACGATGAAAGAATTATTTATTGGTTTGATTTAATGGTTAAATGTTTCCCTTAACAACATAAGACTTAAAGGGAGATTGTGTTATGTCATAACACAGACAGAATAACATTGCTGTAAAATAATAATATAGTTACGTCTATACTGCAGATTGTATCAAAATGTCCCATATTCTCGATGTTCCGTCATATTGGAATGGCGATAGTAAAAAAACGGGATTAAGAAAGTTGGGCGCAGAGGGCGCAGCAATTGTCCATCTTTATTTTTCTCTTTTTTCGCGTTTTGCCCATTTTGGTTTTCGCTAAAGTTTTGAATGAGCGATTCGGGTTTCCCAGTGACAAGTGTTTTAATGCAGTTGCGACTCTTCATATTTCACAATATAAAGACTTGATTTCGAAAATTGCTTTAACAATTACAAAAATCGAGGATTCAAGTTGTGCACGAAAAAAACCTCCACCAAACAAACAACTAAACAACCCCCCCCCCCAAGAAAAAAGAGGAAGAAACAATAGCCCCCCTCCCCCCCTTAAAAAAAAACCAAAAAAAAAAACTACCAAAAAAAAAAAGGAAAAAAAAAGGAAAAACTGGCATACAGTATTTCGTAAGAGAAACATGTGATCATTTTTTTAACTACGAGAATAGCGTCGATTATGAGGCATGAAACCGGTGGCTGTACAGTATTCAATATCATATCTTATCATCTTTCTGTTTTTAAAAAATGACATGTCACATTATATTTCCAAAGCCATCTTAACTAGCACGT